AGTTGTGTGCGTGTGACAGATCTAGTGCTGGGGCGTGCCCTATGCGGATTTCGAAGACTCCAATAAAACTTGCAAGGAAGAAGAGCATAGTAAAGAAAGATGTGGTGACAGTTTTTTTCAGTTATTTGCAATTCAATTCGCAAACACTTTCTTTTTTTCCCACGCTTTAATTAACTTTCATGGCGAACATTTTGAAAAGTAACGGCCGATTTGAAGACAAAACACATTCGCACACAAAAATGTAAAAAATGTAAAACTTCATATGTATGTATTTGGATGTATATGTGTATATTGACATCTAGTATATTTTTTATACATATAAATGTATTTGTCAATGCTCATGTGTCTATATGTATATATATATATGTATGTGTATGTACGGCCCACGGTGCAAGTGACGTAGGCAAGTTAGCCAGATATAGTCAAAGAATCACGTCATTAAAGTTATTCGGCATTTCTTGAATGCAAAAATGCCGGTTTTTTTTAATGAGCCGCGCTAAAATGGAGAAAACCTTCAACATTGTCAACCGTTGGCTATGAATTCGACGTCGCCGTCGCCGTTGCCGACGCGTGAGAGAGCGAAAGCGGCGACAATTTCCAGCTCTCCTTCACGACGATTCGCTTCGAAACATGACCATATATGGTCACAAAAGTTGGCAAGCCAAGCGCGCTAATCGTGCGCTCTCTATCGCACGCATGCGCTAGCATACGCTGCGTGCGAGTGAGCTGGCAGAGCAGCGGCACGCTCGTACAGATATCAAAACGACGACGACGGTGACGGCGACGGCGACGACGACGTCGATTGAAGCAGCGCTTGAAATAGCTGTAACTGGCATTCGTTCGTTTGTTCATTCCTCTTTCGGCAGTCAATCGGTGCGGTTGCATTTTCAGTCAGTCTATTGCCTCGTCGCCTCCTACCAATAACCAAGTGTGGTTTACAAAATTTTCAACTTGAATTGCAAAGTTTCAATTCAGTTTTTCAAACAGTTTTCGTCGTTTGTTGTTAAATAAAACAAAAAGGTAATAAACAAAAATCAATGTAGAACCGAATGTACATAGTCAAATACATCAAACAAATATTTGGTGCCGGCTCTGAAGTGGTGAATTTTTTTTCTCGAATTTTTTCTTTGTGCAAATGGCGGCCATTTTATACGTCAACGTATACACACGTACATTTACTTGTTCAGACAAGAGCGGCTCTCTCCTTTGGCCACTTGCTTGGCACCGGCATATGCTGAAGTGATATACTCTCGAGCTTTTTGTCAAGTTGTTGATTTATGTGCAGGGTGTTGCCCCTCTGTGCTCAAAGAGAGGAAATGCAGATACATACACATACACGCACACGGAGATATACTCGCTCTCTTCTAATATAGAGAGTGGGAAATGGTGGCCATTTTGATTAATATTTTTTTTTCTTGTGTTCTTTGCAGCTTACAAAATGTGTGACGAAGAAGTTGCTGCATTGGTTGTCGACAATGGCTCCGGCATGTGCAAGGCTGGTTTCGCTGGCGATGATGCGCCCCGCGCTGTCTTCCCATCGATTGTGGGCCGTCCACGTCATCAGGGCGTGATGGTCGGTATGGGCCAAAAGGACTCGTATGTGGGTGATGAGGCACAGAGCAAACGTGGTATCCTCACCCTGAAGTATCCCATTGAGCACGGTATTGTGACCAACTGGGATGATATGGAGAAGATCTGGCATCACACCTTCTACAATGAGCTGCGTGTGGCTCCCGAGGAGCACCCTGTCCTCTTGACCGAAGCCCCCCTCAACCCTAAGGCCAATCGCGAGAAGATGACACAGATCATGTTCGAGACCTTCAACACACCCGCCATGTATGTGGCCATCCAGGCGGTGCTCTCGCTCTATGCTTCCGGTCGTACCACTGGTATCGTTCTCGATTCTGGTGATGGTGTCTCCCACACGGTGCCCATCTATGAGGGTTATGCCCTGCCCCATGCCATCCTCCGTCTGGATTTGGCCGGTCGCGATTTGACCGATTATCTGATGAAGATCCTCACTGAGCGTGGCTACTCTTTCACCACCACTGCCGAGCGTGAAATTGTGCGTGACATCAAGGAGAAGCTCTGCTATGTGGCTCTCGATTTCGAGCAGGAGATGGCCACCGCTGCCTCCAGCTCCTCTCTGGAGAAGTCCTATGAGCTTCCCGACGGTCAGGTCATTACCATCGGTAATGAGCGTTTCCGTTGCCCCGAGGCCCTGTTCCAGCCCTCATTCTTGGGTATGGAGGCGTGCGGCATCCATGAGACCACCTACAACTCGATCATGAAGTGCGATGTCGATATCCGTAAGGATCTGTATGCCAACACAGTGCTGTCTGGTGGCACCACCATGTACCCAGGCATTGCTGACCGCATGCAGAAGGAGATCACCGCTCTGGCCCCATCCACCATGAAGATCAAGATCATTGCACCACCAGAGCGCAAATACTCCGTATGGATCGGTGGCTCCATCTTGGCATCGCTTTCCACCTTCCAGCAGATGTGGATCTCCAAGCAGGAGTACGATGAGTCCGGCCCATCCATTGTGCACCGCAAGTGCTTCTAAGCAGCGACGCCGACCAACAGGGAGGAGCAGCAAGTGGAGTGGCAACAACACCAACAACAACTTCTATGTGGAGCTGCACGCTATGTTAAATTCACACATCATCGTCGTCGTCTTGTTGTGTTCTAGCATTAATTTAATTTATTTCACATGAGATATATGATAAATGCATAATATTTTTTTGTTTTTTTTTTTTTTAATATACCTTTTAATATAACAACAAATTGAGAAAAACAACAACTAGATATTCTCTATGCCATTCCACTTCTAAAACAAAAATCCACAACAACAACAACAACACACGACAACAAGCAACACTTACAAGCGTACACTCCCTGCAAGGAAGATGCAGAAGCAGCAGCAGAAAAGCGACTAAAATATTCCCTTTCAAAAAAGAAAAAAAAAGCAAATAAAAGACACAACACACAAAATATGCAAAAMACAAGAACAACACTAAGAGAGTTTTGTAAAATTTTAAACAAAACCTTATGTATTATTTTTTAATTATGATGTAATTATAAACAACAAAGTGAAACAAAAATATGATGGAAAAAAAAACTTTACCAACTATGTTTTCTGTTACTTTTTGCCTCCCTTCTCTGTTTCGCTCTTTCTCTCTACTTCCCCTCTTCCACTCAATTATGCTTGCTCTCACACTGCTTGTCTTTACGCTCATCATTTGCTCTCGCTCTAAACTCTCCTTTTGCTTTGCCGGCCGGCAAATGCATTAATACACGCACACCGACTCACTCGCTCACTCTCACACATTGCTATGAGCGTTTGAGTTGCTGCTGGGGAAGTGAATCAAGAAAGCTAGTTGCGCGCTCTGTGTACTTCTCTTGCTGCTGCACAGCTTCATTGAAATTTTATATAAGCTGAAATTTGATATTTGTACATGTACTTAATTTTTTTTGTATTATCTAATTGCATGCGTATTGAATGACTATAAGTTTACGCCTAAAAATGTTAATTAAATTGTGAAATGCAAATGAAAATTGTATTCTCTTTTACCCATATACATATACATACATACATACAAGTATATGCACGTACTTGTGTTAGTTTGTATATCCGTGCGTGTATATGGCTAGAAAAATATACCGTTGTATGAGAGTGTGAGGGGGTCAGCGAACTTGTCGAGCTTTCGTTCTTCTCAAAAAACCGACCCAACATGCACGCACAGCTGGTTTAAGCTTGCGTTCTCTCGCTCTCCAAATGCAGTTGGCATTGGAGCACAGACACACACATACACATACACAAACACACACATAGAGATATCTGTTTATGTTAATGACCTTAAACTTGCAATGTGGACCACTCCATGCGAACACAAAAGCAAACGAGCGAGCGGACCCATCTGGCTGCGATTAAAGTTCCGTTTCTAACCGCTATCACAATTTGTTGCCATCGTTCTGAAAGCTTTGCTTTGATTCTTTTTAAATGCTTTTGGTTGTTTTTTATTTTTATTTTTTAAAATTGATTTTGTGCCACATTCACTTAACTATGAAAGATTCTCTTAACTGCAAATGGCAATTTTACATTCTTCAGACTTTTTTTGATCGCAGCATATTAATTTTTTTTTTTTTTTTACCGTTTTCTTTTAGACCAGTTTTAAAAATAGTTGAGCCTGTTTTTGGTAGACGATATCGCATTATATTATTTATAGAATCGCCTGCATCGACTGAACTATGGCTATATGAAAGGTTCTGTCACATAGATATAGTATGTGTTACACATACTATAGTGAAAATTTACATAAATGCTTATTCATTTAATTGTATTAAACATGAACCCGTTGGGCACACGTACTTCCCGTTTGCATCACTTTATATAACTTGGTTTCCCTATATCGAAACTTACTGTACTCTGCATTTAGAGGAAAGAACTATTATTAATCTCATGGAACTCGAGAGCTATACGGATTAGAGCACAAAATTTGTGGTATGCGCCTAGTTGTATGCCGTAATAGTGTAATTTTATTAAGAAACATTAAATAATTCATGCGCACTACTGAGATAACTCTAACTATGTAAATGAAAGATTACTACAATTCTCTGGTAAAACGCACAACTATTAAAGAAAAAACCTGGTAACAGAGGAACTATGCAAGCAAGACTTCTAAAATTTAGATTTAGCTAGGTATATACATACATACATTATAAAGCTGGAGGTTATAAGTACTTTCGTATGCATATACCTGAACGTGTTTGGCTCAAATTGAAAGCCATGAAACCTGTACTGCATTGTATAAAGATCAAGGAATTAGTATCAGACACCCTACTTTATTGATGCCATGTCTTAAGGTGTCGGAAATGAATATTTTTTTAAAATTCTTCTAGTGTTCAGCTGAATATTCAGCAAATTGACACGCTGCTCCCAATCGAATGCGATTTGCATAATGGGGGACACAGTTCAGGCACAGCCAAGTTTCAATTGTCGTTCAGTTTTTCAGATTGCATTTGGTCGGCGATTCGTGCGTAACAATATGTCGATTTCAGCTTCGTTTAAGGATCAGGAGATCTTCGTGACCGGCGGCACGGGTAGGCGAACCTACAGCGATATACATACATATATATATATATATATATATATATGTCGGATACATTGATTTTCCTTATTAAGGTTTCGTTGGGAAAGCGCTCATCGAAAAACTCTTGCGTTCCTGTCCGGCGTTGGGTAAGATCTATGTGCTGCTGCGTCCGAAGAAAGGAGTCGCAATCGAGCAGCGCTTGGAGGACGTGCTCAATTCGAAGCTCTTCGACCGTTTGCGCCGCGAACAGCCTCAAACTATATCCAAAGTAGTGCCCATTGCCGGAGACTGCATGAAGCTGGGCCTGGGCATTAGCGAAACGGATCTGGCCAAGTTAACCAATGTCAACGTGGTCTACCATTCGGCTGCCTCGGTGCGGTAGGTGGAAGAGGGTTAAGGCCCCCAGTTCAGCGTGCTGTAAACATATTTCCGATGCTTTCAGCTTTGATGATCCTTTGGCCAAAGCCATTTTGTTGAACACACGCGCCACTCACGAGCTGGTCAAGCTCGCTCTGCAATGGAAACAGCTGAAGGCCTTCATCCATGTCTCCACAACCTATTCGAATCCCACGGTCATCGATGTCGAGGAGCGCATCTATCCACCTTATGCGGACTGGCGTACAACCATCAAGCTAGCCGAGACCTACGATCAGCAAACTTTAGATATTTTCAATTTGAAGTAGGTCCAAAAAGGGGTCAGCCATCGGTGCTTCATCACTCACGGTCTGTCTCTGTGATTCTGTCTTTTGTAACCTTTTCAGGTATAGCAGCTTTCAGCCGAATAGTTATACCTTCACAAAGAGCCTGGCTGAGCACGTGGCCAATGACTATAGGGATCGGCTGCCCATTCTCATATTCAGGCCATCAATCGGTAGGTGATCGGATTGGGTGTTGTTTTAAGTACTTAACTTTTTCGACTTGAGCTATTGAATGTTCGACTGATATCAATTCGAGCATTCTAGAAAGCTGGGTAGAACCATTTCCATATATGGGGGTAAAAACCTCCAAGGAGCTTGAGTGTATCTGGAAGGAGATGTGGCAGATCCCAGTAAGCATATATATTCTTGATCAAGATGGCGTGATAACTCCATCTGTTCGTCACTCCGTCTGTCTGTCTCACTGTATATTGGCAGAGAGCATTCTTATGTATGCTTGCGTGTGTGTGTGTGTGCATAAGGTGTTTCCAATGACACATGGAATTCTGGGATTATTAGCTTTTCGTTCAACTCCTGGTTCCGCGTATCTCCATCCTGATAGAACATAATACAAGAAAATCATTTGAAAATTAAGTGAACATCTATTGAAGCCTAGGTATACCTATAGAGCTTTCCAATTCGTAATAATCTCTTTAACCCTCCTCTCTGTCTCTCTCTCACTCTCTCTCTCTCTCTCTTTCTTTGCCACGCCTTTCAACAGTCATCTCCACGCTGGAGGAGCCCGTGCCGGGCTGGGCGGATAATTTCAATGGACCCATCGGAATGTTGGTCGCTTGTGGCGTTGGCATCTTACGCTCCCAGAATTGCGATCCCCACATAGTGGCCGATTTTGTGCCCGCCGATGTGGTCGCACGGGCTCTGGTCATAGCCGCCGCCAGCTACTTGAAGAAGCCGCCTGCTAAGGACCAGCCCATCGACGTGGTCAACTGCGCCGTGTCCAATATTTCGCCCATTTCCATGGGCCAGGTAATAGACATTGGCAAGCGGTATATACGCCAGAATCCGTTCGAGAAGACGCTCTGGCTGCCGGGTGGTGGCATTACCACGTGTCCAGTGCTGCACTTTGTGAGGGTAAGTGGAAGTGCCTATCTCTCTCTCTCTCTATCTCTTTCTCTCTCACTCACTCTCTCTATCTCTGCATCTATCTCATTTTGTTGGTCTAGTTTATAACAATGCATATTATGATGGCCATTGTGGTGGACACGTTGCTCCGCTTGTCCAACGAGAAGCCCTTGTAAGTGCGCTGCGGTCTTCCGAGAGATCCTTACTCCATACATATGTTTTCCGCTTTTCTTTATAGCCTGTTGAAGCTGCAGCGTCGCATCTTTGCCGCTTTTCAGGCGTTGAGGGTGTTCGCGGTTACCGAATGGCACTTCTCGAATGACAATATGAGAGCTTTGCATGACCATGTACCCAAAGAGGAACTGTAAGCGCGCGAAAAAAAAAAAAAAAAAAAACAAGAATCAAATTCCAATATTGATTTTTTTTCTGCAGTGCGACCTTTGGCTTCCTTCAGCATGCGAATATCAACTATGTGGACTTCTTTCAGAATGGCATACGCGGCGCCAAGGAGTTTTTGATGAACGAAAGTCCCGAAAGTAGCAGCGGGGCGCGTTTTCGTATGAAAGTCTTCTACGTTCTGGACTATTTGTGTCGGGCCATAGTGTATGGATTTTTGTTGCGACTGGTTTATCGTTTGGCTGTGCGCGTTTTTATGACATAGAAATTGCTATAGAGTATGTGTTGTAATTTTTTTTTTTTTATTTACTTTCACTAGAAACGTTTTTTTTTTATTGTTATTAAATTTATGGATACGGTAAAATAAAGTTGTAAGCTATTCAACGCAAAATTCGACTTGGACTTTGAATTAACAGTTGAGGCTGGCGCCATCTGGCGTGTGTGTGTCATTTAACAGCTGCCGCTGTCGCCGCTGTTAGCTGAACAGTGCACTGTTATCGATAGGCCGTCGATAGGAAGCACATTTTGAGTATAACATAATGCCACAATAACATACGCTTTGCCAAAAAGCAACTAATTTTGCCGTGAAAAAAAAGTGAGAAAATATTGAAAAATGAATACCTACAAAAGGCTAATAAATAAATAAATAAATGCTAAGTCAAAATGTGTAAACCCTAATCATATGCTGCAGGCATTGTAATTCGGCGTGCTGTAATAAAATGCTGGGAATGTTTTGCTCTGGCGTCGTTTTCCGCAATTAGCTGCTAAAATACACTGAAAATAAACAAACAGCGACACAAACAACAACAAATATTTTTTTGAATTGGCCGTGCAACAAATGCAGCACGAGTGTGAAATTAATTAGTTGAATTTGTTTATTTGCGTTTTGGTTGCCTTACATTCGTTTATTATTGTTATTATTAGTATAATTTTCTGTGTTTTGGGCACACGAGAACACGCATTAGTTTCAGCGGGTTAATTGGATTAGGCAGAGGCAGAGGCAGCAACGGCAGTGGCAGCGGCAGCGGTAGAGTGTCAGTGTCTCTCGATTGGTGGTGGGGCAGACAGAGTTGTTGATCCCGGCTTCAAGCAATGGCCACCACACAGCAATACTCGTTGCGCTGGAACAACTACTTGAGACATCTGACCTATTCGCTGGACAATCATCGGCTGAACGATGATTTCGTCGATGTCAGCCTGTGCGTGGATGGGCGCCGAATTAAGGCGCACAAAGTGGTGCTCAGCTCTTGTTCGTCCTACTTTAAGGAGATATTCAAAGAGAATCCGCATCCGCATCCAGTCATTATATTTAAGTTTATCAAATTCGAAGATCTCAATTCCATAGTCGAGTTTATGTATCAGGTAAGCGAATGTCAGTTAATTAACTCACCTTTAACTAAGCAATTCTCATTGCGTGCTGACTACTAGGGCGAGGTGAACGTGCAACAAGAGGCACTACAATCCTTTCTACAAACTGCCGAGCTGCTCGCCGTGCAGGGCCTAACGGCCGAGGAGAAGGAGAAACCGCAGATGCCGGTGGTGCCGCTCATTAGCGAGCACAAGCTCATCAAGACGATACCCAGCACAATACGTGCCGTCAATGAGCAACAGCAACAGCAGCAGCAGCAACATCATCATCAGCAGCAGCAACACCAACAGCAGCAGCAGCAGCAGGTGACTGTTGCGGGCAATACGCAAACTATCGAAATACCAACGGCCACGCTGTTGCAGGCAACGGCAACGGCAACGCAAGTACAAACGCAGGTGGCTGCTGCTGCGGCTGCTCAACTGCAGGTGCAGCAAACCCAACAGCAACAGCAGCAACAACAACAACAGCAGCAGCAACAACAGCAGCAGCAGCACCATCATGTACAAAGCACCCAGATACAGCACATTCAAGTACAGGCAGCGCCGCCTCAGCAACAACAACAACAACAACAGCAGCAACAGCAGCAGCAGCAACAACAACAGCAGCAGCAACAGCAACAGCAGCAACAACAACATCCACAGCAGGCCGCAGCGCAGGCGCAGCACCTGACTATCACCAATACTGTATCATTGCCAGCTGCGAATACCGTAAAGAAACGAAAGATCACCTTCTCGGACGATGATGACAACATCTACACCACCGAAACGGTCGACTACGCCGTCAAGGACGAGCAGACCATTGTGAAAAGTAAGCAAGTCCCAGGAAGTCCTATGAGAACCCAGTTAGCTGACATATGTATAATTTATTTTACGATATAAATAGCATAGATTGTACCTAGACCATTGTGAATGTACGCAAATCCTACTAAATACGTTGAAAAGCTTGTTAGCTGACTTGTATAATTTATCTTATTATATATATAGCATATGATATATATAGGATATAGCATATATATTTATCGTATGATATATATAGCATATATAGACCACTATGAAAAGTACGCAAAGTCTACTAAATACGTGGAAAAGCTTGTTAGCTGACTTGTATAATTTATCTTATAATATATATAGCATATGATATATATAGTTATGATAGGATATAGCATATATATTTATCGTATGATATATATAGCATATATAGACCACTATGAAAAGTACGCAAAGCCTTCTAAATACTTTGAAAAGCTTGTTAGCTGACTTGTATGATTTATCTTATGATATATATAACATATATAGTACCTAGATCATTATGAAAGGTAAGCAAAGCCTTGGAACCACTTAAAAAATTAGTCAATTAACTGAGGTTTGTGTGATAGATCAAGAATTATATAGCAAAGATTTTGTACACATATGTACGATCTATTATTAGATTTAGATACACCTCGGAATAATAGATATTTAAGCTTATCAGCATTATAGCAATCAATGGGTTGTTATGCAAATGTCTCAATGTCTATCAAGCTGCTTAGTGGTAAAACTATCTTGAATTTTCTTCAACTTCAAGTCAAGTTATACTTTATTGGCTGTCAAATCAGATTTCTATAACATAGCTTTAGCTTTAATCTGATTACTATATCATATGATTGTTATTAAACTTAGAGCTAGAGACTTGAGTTCTCGTGCTTGTTAAAAACTAACACTGTACTTCGCTTATAGAAGACATATATAACTCGATTTAACTAATTCTTATTGAATCCGTTACTTGCAGCTGCTGAGATGACATTTTTGCGCGGTGCCGTTAAAATGGATATACCCGATTATATAGTTAGCGAGGTAGACGATCGACTGTCTGATGGCGCGACGCCGCAAACTTCACAGGATGCAACGACGGCGGCTGCCCAGACTGTCGCTCAATACTCATCCGAATACGAGATTCTGACCGAGTCCGAGATCGAGGAGAAGTATCAAGCGGATCCCGACAATGCGGAAATTGCCATCGAGATGAGTGAGTGGGCGTGCCAGACATGCATGTATATCAATTTTGATTGTGCACTGAAACTAATGTGGAATTCTCTTGCTTGCAGCTCGCCTGCTGGGCACAGCGAGTGGTGGGACAGCCACAGCCACCGCCCAGGCGGTGCTCGAAGATCCCAGCGCTGCGACGACAGGTGCCACAACCACCGTCTCCGTGACACCAGTCAAAACGGACAGCAAAGCCAGCGGCACGAATGGTAAGTCCTCTAGTTAGTGGAAGATTATTATCCATTATATATAGTCTGAGAATAGATGAAAAATGCATTTGTATATAAAACAAAGGTGTATATAATTGTTATCTTTAGTAGATGGATGGATTTTAATATATCTATATAGTATATATCGTATATTACGATATGGTATATTACTATAGCCAGCTTTATACTCTTAACTCTCATTTTGAACATTATAGAGTAAAGATTTATGCAAAGAACATTGAAATTAAGCATAAGAAAATCCAAAACTACTTTATAAGCAACTCAGGGAAGATCTTTAGTTATTAATCAAAGTCAAAAAACTATGAAAAAAAACTAGCAGGATTGTATTTATGAAGCATAAATATATGTACATATATATCTTAATTTATAATCAAGATGAAGGTCTATATTCGTGTAACATAAATCTATATATAAGGCATTATATAGATCTTTGTACGAAGGAATTATAAATCATATCATATTGTTCTGAAGTTCTTTGCGAATGATTTAAGTTTTTATAATTTTAGTGCTTGTGCTAAAGCAGCCTAACTATTATAATTTAATTATTTTAATTTAGTCTAATAAAATGTAGATATGTGTATTAAATGTTTGCTCTGATTCTTGTTGGCGTGTGTGGGTGTGTGTGTGTGTGAAACATTGTTACATATTTCTTAATTGTTGTCTGTAGAATATTATTATACTTTTACTTTTGTGTTTGTTTTTATTTATTTTGTTTTTGTTTTTTTTTTTTTTTTGGCGTCGAATATGTCTCCAAAGTGTTTGTCTATATATAGTTATTGTCCCCCGTAATGTACATTTGTGTGTGTTAAGAAAACAAAAGAAAGTGAAATGAAACAGAAAATATAGTTGAAAACGAATGATCCAAAATCTCGCAATGTCCCTAATTTTGTCCTATTTTTCTGTATATTTTTAGATTCACCCAATAATAAGTGGACAGAATGTCAGTTTTGCAAAATGGTTATTACCACGGTGAATCTTTGGAGACATATTCGCACCCAACATACGCCCCAACCGCCGCGCAAATGCGATCTCTGCAATAAGAATTTCAAAAACAAATACAGCCTGCGCGAGCACATACGCATCTCCCACGAGCAGAAGGTGGCCATTAAAACGGAGAACTGATGGACGATCTTTCAGGTGCAGCATGGCGTCAATTGAAACAGCCGCACGACACAGACAGAGATAGATATAGAGCGAGACAGAGTGAGAAAGCGAGCGAAATGGGAGCGAGAGGGAGAGGGAGAGGAGAGCAAGCTATAGAAAATTACGTCCATTAGAAAAGCAAATGCCAAAACGAAAGATATTTGTGGCACCAAAACCGAAAATGAAAACAAAATAAGAAAAACAAGAAAACTTATAGAAGAAGCAGAGGCAAAACAGAATTATAATGTTTAAACACTTTTCCAGTCATTAGCACTTACTTTGTCCAAGTTGGTTAGCCTAAAATCTTGAAATTAAAAGTTTTGTACATAACAAATATAGTTTGATACATTTTGTATATCTTAATATCTGTCTAAACTGACTAAGCCATGTCATAAGCAGATATCTATATACCTTATTAATTGAAGCAAATCTGTCAAAGTGAAATTAATTTATGTATTTTAGTTAATTAGTTAGCCAAGTAAAGTCACATAACTGTACATACATTAAGCTTACAATATACTATAAATAATTTCTAGAGCGCCAGAACCAAAGCCCGAGCAGGCTGACAGTTCCCAAGCAACCACAGTCAACATGAATATTTATGTTTTTGTTTTTTTTTGCTCAACTTGTACAAAAATATATAATTCACATACATATATATGAATACATATATTTATATCCTCATTGTATATTCTAGTTTATTTTATACTAAGTATCGTATTTAAATATAAATATTGAAAGCAACAAAACAAAATATAGTTAATTGAGAAATCAAATTCCCACACACATGCTAAAGATGAAGATAAAGATAAATATATATATTATATACCTAGTTAATTGAAAGGCTAAATGTTAAATGAACAAAACATACGTATTA